ACTCACGACTCACGACTCACGAGTGTTCATGCACAGACTAGCTGGGAGTGTTGACTCAAGGGGCTCTGCGGTACGGGTACGCATACATCACTCCCACACTCGTCTTTGGCGCTGACTCGAGCCCATTGCGGGCTTGCAAGCCATTCTTCAGACACAAAACTCGCGCGAAAGCGGATCATCATCACCGAAGTCGGCGACAATCACCACCATCGCAAGTCAAGCATGCGATCCTTGATACGAGCCACACAGGCGCTAAGCCTTGGCAACGCTTCCAGTCGCTGCTCCGTTATCGCTCCAGCGAGCGTCTCGGCCGCCGCGAAGCGTCACATCACCTCGAGCGCTGCCAAGTGCGCCGACAGCCCATTTCAACCTTCTTCCGGTCCATCCTCCTCCTCCTCTGCCTCTTCCTCTCCATCAGCCGCAGCCGCAGCCGCAGCCGCAGCCGCACCCGCTCGTCAATCTGCAGCAGATAAATCCAAAGGCCAATGGGATGCAGTGCTGGATACTTTTAGTCCAGATATCCGCGGTAATTATCTAGGCTCGGCGCCCAAATTGGACGAGAGGGAAGCGCAAGAGGATGCTTGGATGACGCAGCGCGTATACGGCAATACCCGACTAGTCTCACCCACGACGGTCGGACGAACAGTGGTGGGTCAAGAGGACGTCTCTGTAGCACTGAACATGCTCAAAGGCATTTTGAATCGGAATTACATCAGACAACAAGTGTTTGCGGGACTGAGGTACGAGAAACCGTCAAAGAAGAGGAGAAGGATGAGAAGCGTTAGGCATAGGCGGAGATTCCAAGATTTGGTCAGGAAAAAGGTCCAGCTGGTGAGTCATCGCAAAGCAGAGGCAGGGAATTGAAGGGCTGCGAGATTAGGGGCTCTAGGGTCCAACGGCTGCGGTCCACCTGTAATTGGCTGACTCGCGTACCTCACTGCACATCATTACGATCTGACAGGCCATGCAAATCAAAGCAACAGGCGCTTAGGATTCCGCCACCAAGTACACCAAGGCTCATGGTCATCTGCATCCCAGAGGTGCCAGTGAGGACATGAACGATGCGGCACGAGGGGTTGACGCAGAGCACACCGTCTTTATTGGTAGTCGCCTCAACAGCCCTTCAAATCCATGCCGTTTTGCACTCCTCACGCCGACGTCCCTCCCTGCACAACGTCTCATAAGTCAGTCTGAGCATGCTCCTGTGACTGATATGCTTGCTCGCTCGCACAAATGCAAAGAGCACACGAGTCATCGAATCGCATTGTCCAGCAGCGGGCCGGGGCAGGTGAGGAAAAAGTGTCAAGGAAGCACGAGAGGGTGAGGGTGGATGTGATGTGGAAAGGGGAGGAAGCAGGCGAGTTTCCTTGTTGTCAGATGCACACGGCGGCGATGCCTCGAGGTCGCGTCCGTGTTTACCTGGCCCAATCACCCTTGAACGCCGAGTGGAGCCTCGAGCTTGCAAAAGGTAGGCAAAGCGCTCCTTGCTGATGGAAATGGCAAGTCTAGAATGGGGTGGTGACGCAGGAGAAGAGAAGCCGTGCGCTTGGACCAAGCAATGCCTGTGCCTGCGAGCTGGCAGTAATCGAGAGTGGATGATTCGAAGAGCTTCTTCGTTGCGAGAAACGTGTGTCCAGATTCACTGTACTGTCCCAAGGTGTTCTACATGATCACCTCCTGGTAAAGTTGCTGCGTTGGCAACATGTTGGGTGGTCTTCGCACCAACCACATGATGGGCTGCAAGGGCGAGGGAAGTCATGCCCACACGCGTGAGCCATTTACTGTGTTTGCAGCCCTGGCACCGAGTACTCACCTTTGGAGCACCAGCCTCCCCGCCACCACCATCGTTGAACATCTTCATACCGTACGCTGTCTGTCCTTCTGGCAAGAAGCCTGGCTTCGGATCCAAGTAATTGTACCACTGAGGAATCAATTCGAATCTGCGCACGGAACGCGGCGTAGGCGTGAGTGCTCGAACGAGCACAATCGATGGACGAAAGCCGCGCAGCACTCACTGCTTATACTGGTACTGCGCCACGCTCGTGCCTGCACACGGATCCATAACTTGCACGTAGCCATCTGGAGCGAAAGGAGTCAGGCTGATGGAACCGTTGGGGTTAAATGTGTATGATCCATGTTGCCAAGTCAGCGCTGCCCTGAAGCACCTGTTGTTCGCAGCTGTGGGTTGAGAAGAAGTCACAGAGTATGTGTGAGTTACAGTCAGACTCGGATGCCCTTTGAACTTCTCTACGCACAGTTGGATGTGTAGGTGTAGGTGCTTGTCTCGAAGAAGCCATCATTTGTGAAGGAGTAGGCAATTCCCGACGTCCTTGGCACTGTGAACTTTTTCGCGATCGGATTGAAGAATTCCTACGTGCGGCAGAGGTACAGGACTTAGGGGTGTCAGCGAGCCGAAAGAATGGCTGCGACCGAGTGCACATGCTCGTAGCCTCGTAGCCTCGTAGCGATGGTCATTACGCGCACATGCATGCCCGCCAGGCTTTCCCGAAGCTTTACCGTCGTCATGTGATGTGACGAGACTCACCAATCCAGTAAGGACATTTCCAGATCCGCTAGCCCAAGTTCCCGCAAGGCTCGTAACATTCTGAAACTGCGCAGACGAGGGCTGGGCCGAAAGCACAACAGCCGCGAGACAAGCGAGCATGATAGCTGACCAGCTCATGCTTCGGGGGTTCTTGCGCTGGCGCGAAGCTGTTCGTTGGGCCTTCTTGGTGTGATGATGCGATGAGGCGACGTCGGACGCGAGGAGGGTGACCTGCGAGGAGGAAGCGATGGCACCTTGCATCCTAGAGATGCGTCGACTGCGGACGACCTTGCCCCCTAGAAGACCAGCAGAAGGGCAAGTACGGGGCGTTGGCCCAAGCTCGTCGGATCGCGTGTGTATGCGAGCGTGATGGTGGCGGGTCAAGGACCGAGGCGCGCCGATTGTTGGCGCGAAGCACTATAGTGCGAAAGGCAAGAGCTCTGGCGTCTAGCGATCTGTGCCTGTATGACAAGGTGAGTGATGGGAAGATGCAGGTATTGGAAGAGGAATGATTGAGGTGAAGCTTCGTATGGATGGTGAAGATGGGGCAAAGAAGCGCGCAGTCGGGCAGATGAATGGATCCGTGCAAACAAGATGGAAACATCGTCATGCCATTTCCTGCCGATACAGGCTCGGTGCGCGCAGGCTCATGATGCTGCTCATGCTGCTGCTGCTGCTGAATGCGGTGCGATGCTCCTCTCAACAGCGTCGCGCGGCGGCGGCGGCGGCGCGGCAGCATCTCGCAGCAACCGCGTGCGCCGCACCGCACGCCGTGATCCTCGATCGCCTATGCTAGGCGCCCGCCCGAGGCAGCGCCGCCGTGTACGGTACTGTATATACATACACCGTACTTACTGTGACTTCGCGCGCGTGCGCCCCTACACGAGCTGTCGCACGGCGAGCGCTACTGAAGACTCACGACTGCGAAAGGTA